CACTACATGGTAAAACTCAACAAAATGGCATTGTGCTTAATTACTGATTGACCGTCAGTGGAAAGCTTATCCATATGGTCTTCCTAGTTATCATGCTATCTAGAATTCGGCATAAATCGATCGGAAACAGCCGCTACGGCTTACGAAGACGCGTGGAAATCTTTGAAAATTACGGAGGGATTCCTTGCATATCGCTAAGATCTCACTGCTGCCATGCTGCCATCCATGCGGCTAAAGTGGTATTCCCAAATACGGCTGTCGAAGGGTGTGCCTTTCACCTGGCACAGGCGTGGAACCGAAAAAGAAATCATTTGGGGCTCCAGGGATATCTCAGGCGCAGAAAAAGGCTTGGCAAATGCAAATGGCAAAGTAGGACACCTTTCAGATCCCTTTCTTCATTGCACCTCTCAAAGACACTGTACTTATTTTCAGATTCAACGAACTTTATCAGCAGGGAGTATCTAGTGCCCAAATAGAGTGCTACTGCATAAAAATGTCTCAATTCGTCACAAACAAAACTGTATAATACATTTGTTAATTATTGATAATAATTTGTACACTTGTTCTTGTTTAAGTAATAATAATAAATATATGAAATATATGGCAATCTTTTTACCCACTTTACCGAAATCTTGCAATGGATTTATTCCGATTTGGATAGCTTAATAGCTTTTCCTTGAAGTGAGGTCAGCTGCAGTTGAGCACGACGTGCCTCGGCTAATGAGGTCGCTTCGCACCTCGCTAATCGGCTTAATGAGGTTTCTTCGCACCTCGCTAATTATGCCTCGAATCCAGGTGCGAGAAGTCGTTAACGAGGTGCGATCGTACCATTCTTATCCTACTTAGATTAACTTAGTGGGTGCTAGCTTTGCATTCACACTTGAAATAATTCATGACCTTGATGAGTGTATCTTCAAACACCACCTTAACTTCTTGTCTTGTTATGCCTGTGTCTGATCTATTTCGTCCCTTTGCTCAGCAATTCCTGAAACTCTCTTCTTTTATAAGATTCACATTTCCTGTGATAACGTGCCCATAATCTTTATCCACATATTCTTGTACTGTATTTGTAGTACATATACAATCGTTGTTAAGTATCTGCTTCAATTTTTCATTGTCGAGATCTTTCAACACTTTGTTGTAATTGCAAACCCTGCTAGCCATTGTATTGTGTACTTATGAATAATTCTGATTGGATTAAAATCACTGTTAAAATCACCTGTCCATTATCTCTAAGTAGTATCTCTCCGACAGTACGTGAATCAAAGATCCTGTTGAAGGGGATTTCATTAACTATTCTGCTTGAGACTGACACCACGTTATGAAATTCTTTTCTAGTGATTTTTTTGTGGTAGTGTCAAATGGAAAGTGAGCTAGCCAGAGTTTCTCTGTGAGGGCCAGTCATATCGCCCGGTATCGCCGTTTGTCAAAAAAATTTTTCCAAAAATTATCAAACTTTACCGCTTCATCCCTAGTATATACCCCCTTCCCTGAAAGGGAGCCCTGCAAGTTTCATATATGACACTCTCTACATTAATGAAAATTCGCTGTGCAGGAAACTCTGAGTTTGTGGCAGCTCTTTGGTTTTAGAAGAAATTCAGATAGATGAATTCTGTGGAGCGAACGTTACGCAGTGGGCGCTATCTGCCAGAACACTATTGTATTATGTGTTTACACTATTCTTTTTGATGTTTGTTTTTTTCTCCTTGGTCCTTTGTTGTGTAAATCTAAGAGAAAACAAGGGACG